ATCAAAAAAGTACTCCAGAGTGTTGTTCAGCATGGGGGTGAGTAGAAAATGAAGGCTAATCATGTTTTGGGTGTACTATTCCTTTAAACACCAGAGAAAACACTTTACTTTCTTCATTTGTATTAAATAAATAAGAGTTTCCTTCATCCATCCATTTAACTTTCCTGATCTTTGCTGCTTAAAACCTTCACAGTGACATTCCCCAGACTGTTTTTGGGAATTTGAAAGCGTTCCCAGGCCAGAAAGAGCAGATAATTATTTTATTTCTTGGCATTTAACTCAAAAGTGAACCAACAGGAAATGCTGTGAAAAAAAGATGCGGACATGTAGCAAAGGTCTCTGGAAAGCTTCTGTACATGGATCATGTGCTTGTATGCGCCGCTGCCTCGCCCCAGGAACAGGGATTTCTGTGTCATATTGTCTCCCTGTGGGATTTATCCAGCAGCTTCTCTTCTCTAAGCTCGCTACAGGTGACAAAGCTGCTCAGCTTATCTCCAAGTCAGAACCCAAACAGAAGAAGCTAGTTTCTTGTATCTTAAATCAGGGTCGTTATTGTTTTTTTCACTATCTATGTCTCATTAGCATAGTTCAGAGTAGGAGCACACCTGGATCTGTTAATTAAAAGCCTCACCTTTCATCTCAGATGCTTCTTTATTTCCACAGACCAGATCAACAGCCTCGGCACTGCCGACCTGTTTATCTCTCCATCACTTGTTATCAACAAACAATGATACTGATGCTGGTTCCTCTAAAATTGGTGGGAAGTTTCCCCCAAACCTTGATGGAAACTTCCACCTTTTAATATTTATGAATGTGTGAATTGTTCCATCCCTAGAGATCTGTTTCAAGAGAGCTGGAGCTTTCATTCAGTAATGATTCCCTCTAAACTCTCATATTCATCCCATTATCTTATTTTCCATTAAATATTTTTCCAAATTATGCTAATTAGAAACTTTGATTTTCTTTGTAAATAAAGTTATGAGCAAATTTTTTCAATAAAACAATAAATACAGCAGAGAAAATGTCTATCTACGAAGACAGTGTTTAAACTAAATAATAGCCTACATGAAGGCTGGCCCCAGATTGTCTCCTTGAGACCTGATGCCCTTGAAGAAATTTGCCTAGGAGCCCCTGATCTTTGAGTTTTAATCACCCAGCGCAGAAAAAAACCTTCTAAAGCAAACACTGACTGTAAAGCGGTGTGAGTGTCATGATTTGGAGGCATTAAGATAATGAAATTGCTTTAAATTGGTCCATGAGCTTCAAACAGCGGTCCTCTGCTCCTCTGAATGTGGTTTGTCTTTTGGTTGCCGTCTTTTTAATTTAAAATATAAATCATATTTCACATAATAGCTATATTTTAAACACCAATTACATCATAATCATTTTTTAATCATATATATTTTTTGTCTTATGTTACGCTTCTGCATAAAAAAAAAATCCTGGAGTTTTGGAGTTGTATTCATATTTTTCTTATGGTACCAATAATTGGTGGGGTAGAAATGTTATTTGCCTAAATATGAAGAAAGTCAGGTTATTTCTACTCTTTCAATAGCAGTTAAACAGACAAACTTAAATCTGCACATTCTACTTAAAGCATCCTACAGTTTCAACTCTAACAAATTATCTTTTAATGCTTTTATTTTACTATCTGCACATCTTTTTTGAATGCTTCACTGGATGAAAAGCAAATTTACCATCTATATTTGCTAAAATCTATTTTTTTATTCCATCTGAGATGCGTTTTGCAGGGTAAAGATTGCTGTTCGTTAATAACTTTTCAATGAATCATCTTAATCTGTCTGAAGCAGGAAACATTCCTCCAAACGGATATCTAATCAGAGTTTGTTTTGGCTGATCAGAACTTCATCGTTGCTCTATTAATGTGGACCTGGATGTTTTTCCTACAGCGGCTTCCCAACGGACCGTCCTCCATCCTGGATGACGCCGACATGGACCGACAGAGAGAGGGTGAGATCGAGCGGCAGAGGTCAGAGCTGGGGCAGCTGAAGGAGAGACTGGCTCTCATGTGCAGACAGGTACGTTGTCTGGAAACAGTAACCAAGCTCATTTGGGTGAGACTGATATTCTTATGGTAACTATCACACTGTCTGCAAAGAACAGAACATCTCTTATAAAGAACTTTGTAAGAGATTTTTTTTCCCTCCATCCAAATATGTATTAAGTGAAACAAATCCTCTAAGAAAGATCATGCATGTTGATTTTGGCTTCTTCCAGTGGATTCACACTCAGAAGAGGCCTCTGCAAGTTCGCAGACCTTCATTAAAACACAGGAATATTTAGCTACCTGCACAGACAGGATTAGCTAAAGCTCACTTTTTATGAAATTTAAAATAATAAAAAGAGACTTAGAAAACAAAAAAGCATTAAAAGATAAAAAGGAATAAGGACAGGAAGTAAATGTTGCTATAAAGGAAAAAAACACGCTCTGAACACAGATAGCTGCACCCAACTTCTGTTACCTTTGGCTAAAGAAAACGAGTGGAAAGGGGGGAGACATGTCCACACCAGTCCTTCAGAAAGTTATGCCTGTGCTGTACTGCATCCCTGGCACTGTAACATAAACCCCCTCCCCTCCAAAAACAGAGATAAATCTTCAAAAGCTGGATATTAACCTCAGTCAAAATTATCGGTCCGGTTTTGCTTATGAGGCTGATACCGATACGTAAAAAAAAAAAGAGTAATATCTGCCTACACCCTTCTAATAGCAGATCAACCTTCTGCACACTTGAGCTTTAATAACTGAATACTAATTAATAAAAAAAAAAGTAAAAAAAAAAAAAAGGTCAAAACAGACCGCTGAGCTTTGCTTTAGAATAATCATATATAATTTATGGCAGTCCTGAACTGTTGCAAAGAGAAATTTATTGAAGGGTTTTGATATTTATGAAACCAGTTAAAAGCAGGTCTTTTTTTTTCTCTCTC